TATGCACTGAGAAATAAAAGCATATAGGCCATTCTTACAGGACCAGGGATTATCCTGGGAAACATCATCTCCAAAGATGACTTATAGGCCAGGGAAGTTAACCATCTGAAGATGAGTCCATAGCAACCCTGTGACCAAAAGGTCTAGTCAAATACTTAAAAATGGGAACACTGAGTAAGACTTTATATTACCTGTCTATTTAGAACACGTGGAACTGTCACTGGCATACTGCGTCCAGCTGTGATGCCACAATTCAAGGAGGATATTGATAAACTGAAGATATTTCAGAGAACAGTTACAGGAAAAATACAAGGACTGAAAAATGTGTCTTCAAAGGTGATGCAAAGAGCTCAAATCAGTTTGGCTGCCTATGATTGTTCTGCACTTGCTCACTATTTTTTTACATCAACAACAGATTTGTTTTCGAAAAATAAAATAAAATAATACCCCAGTTCAACAAGAATTAATTCAGGGGAGTCTTATCATGTTTTACGCAGCCAGTCAGGCGATAGATAATCGTTTCCGCCCTCAAAATTTGTGAATAAATAAAGGCCAGATTTTTAAAGGCCCCAAAATTTTGAAGAGTGCTCAGCATGCTTTTCAAAAGCATCCAGGCATCGAAATCAAAGGGAGTTAGGCTTCCAGGGACAGTTCCACAAGATCCCAGGTACCTATTTGCATCTTTAGACACCTTGCCTTTAACAATCTGTCCTTTGACCTCTTTTTGATAAATTACATGCAGAAACTTTGTCTTGTTAAAAAGTATTAGTCCAACAGCATTTTAGCAGGCGTGCTCAGCCCTTGGCCCACATGGCAGATCTAGCATGCAGAGCCATGTGATTCAGCCTGTAGGGGTCCCCAAGGCTCTGGAAATTTGAAAGGTGGTGAGAAGTGATAATTCATGCCACCAGCATTCCCCCACCTCCAAATTTCCAAGCGCTACAGTCCAGGTCCATGGCACATCAGGGGCTGGGGTGACAGCCCCAATCTAGCACAGGCAAGGTCAGGGCTGGGGCAAGAGGCCCAATCCAGTACACACAGGGCAAGGGCCTTGGCTGGAGCAGTGGGCCCTATCTGGCATTCATAGGACTGGGGCAGTAAGCCCAATCCAGTGATAGGTCTGGAGCAATGGGGCCTGATTTGAGCTAGGGTTAAGGCAGTGCACCTAATCTAGCACGTACAGGCCTGGGGCGGGGGCAGCAACACCCTATCCAGTGCACATGTGGCCAAGGCTGGAGCTGGAGGCCCAATACATCACAGGGGCTAAGGCCCTGGCCACAATATAATTGTACAACCTTATGCACACTGGACTGGACCCACATGCTGGATTTAGCCCAGAAAGCCACCCACCATCTTAATCTTAAAAAAATATTTATTATTGTTTCAGAGATGTTCGAAGAATGCAACACTCCCAGATATTTTCCAAATCTAATGTAGCTGCATAATTCAACAGGCCACTCTGGCAAAGAAATTTTTAAAGCTGCAGTTCTAACCCTAAGTTAGTATAACATTAACATTTTTTTTTAAATACTTCTTCTAGCAGAATTTTACCCAGGATCATATATAAAAATTTAATAAAGAAGGAGGAGGACTTAGGCAGAACAATCCAATGGTAATTTACTTTTGCAACATTTCCTGTGCTGCCACCCACAAGCCACTGTGGTCTTCAACAGTTCCCATCAGAGATGCTTATATATTAATAGAACTATTTTTACAGATGCATAAACAACCATCCCCTGAATCAACAGATTCATCATTCACTTTCAAGATGCAAGGGCCCAATCCAAAACACACTTAATCCTTAAAGAGGCTCTCATTGATGTCAACAGGCTTTGGCACAGGCATCACTGCCCACAGGTGGGAGACAACCAGGAATTCTGTCCTGGCCCTTGGCTGTCTTATTTTTTGAATGGGTCGCAAATGACTGTTACATAAAATTTGGAGACTTCACATCAAAGGAAAAATTAACAATTGAGCTATGCTACTCCTTCTTAAAATACAGAAACATAACTAAAACCAGGCCTGACCTTACATCCAGCACCTACAAATTGATGAGTGCCACACAGAGGAGAATTCAACAGAAGCAACCTAAAAAATTCTTCTAGGACTGAAAGTTTCTGTGGGGTGCACTGGAAACAGGGCCTAAGTATTCTTGACCTGAATGATACAATCCTTGTTATAATGCTACCTACATTTCATTTACCTCTAAAAAAAGTTTATATGCACTTGTTTGATGGTGGGGGCAGCACATAGCCTTTTATACTGTGGGAACAAAGTCTAATCATCTCATCTGTATCTTTCATTAGCTTCTATTGTGAACTATCACAATGTCTCTTTTGATCGGTGTCTAGAGCAAAATCTTCCTATTCTTAAAAATTTGCTAATACAGTAATATATTTTTTACTTTAGATTGTGGTACTATAACAGAATTAGCCATTTGTGTGTGGGAAGTGTTGGGGGGGTCAAATAATTTAGCCATAAACAGGCATTTTTCCTCAGAATTTTAAATGAAAAAAAGCAGTTAAGCTAATATATACAGTCTTAAATATATACAATACAAAATATGTTAAAATACACACAAAAATACAAACAAATAAAATTCAGTATCTCCTTTCTTTGAGATATGTCCATCTGTTCTTGTAAAAACATTGGCTTTTATCTTCACTAGTCCCTTTCACAGCCTGGGATTTACAATCCTTTTTCACTCTTCATTCTGCTAGGCTAAAACAAGCCAACCTCCTCTAGGTAGGTCTATAAGACTCAAGACAGCTTATTGGCCCAGCACCAAATTATCACATCTATTCTACCTTCAGTCCTGGATCTAGTGCACACAAAGCTAGTGTTCTCTGTCTCTGTACAGTACTTCCTTATGTAGTACAGTGCTACACATGGTCCCTACACTCTAATCCTGCCTACCCTTCTCTGCACCTGTCCCAATGGGAGTTCCTCTTTCTTCCAACGTGCTCAGAACTGCATTCCATCTGGAAACATCCTTCCCAGTTCATCCCAGGCTTGCAGTTGCCTTTTTCCATAGCAATAAATTGCTACCACCTGTATTTACAGTTGATGTCAATTGCTATATTACTCCATAACAAATTTTACTGGTCCCTTAGGGTGCCTATACACAAGCAGCAAGGCTGCTCCAACACACTGAGCAGACTCGATTAATTGAGTCTTCTAAAGCATAGTAATTACCACACTCCAGCATCTCCTGTATCAGCATCCTTGCTCTGAGAAATGGTGGCGGGGGCACTCTAACTAAAGCTCATCAAATGGAGCTGTAGTTAATACACCCTCACTGCCATTTTTCAGCACAGGGACACTGATACATGAGACAGTCCAGGTACTTTAATTTAGAGTGGCTCTCAGAACCACTCTAATTAAAGCACTTTCCCCCCTCTCCCACTCCCAGAGCACACGTATAAACCTCCTTAGGTTCCAAATCCTGCTAACTGCTAAACACTTTTAGTTTTAAATGTGCTATTGGTCATTTATATTTACAGAGCTTAAAAGAGCCATTTTTCAAATGAGGTGCTGCCCCACCATACATCTGGGGAACTCCCACATTTCTTGGCCACTCTGGTTTTCTAATCTTCCAGAACTAATCAACTGCTTGGCAGGAGTTTGCCACGTTCTGTCTTTCCTGAATCCTCTATCTTAGAGGGTGCATCTACACATGCAATTAACAAGATGCAATAAAGTTGTGAGGTTTCATTACCTCCTCATAAAAAGATCTGATAATTTCACAGATGTCAAGGCTACAAGGCATCATCGCTACATCATCTATAGCTTGAGCTCCTGTGTATCACACACCATAGAAATTCACCAAAGTATCTCTGCATAGAACCTGATAATTAGTGTTTAACTACTGCATATCTTACAGAAAGACTTCTAGTCCTAAACCAGAGTTAGAAGATGGAGAATCCACCAGTTTTAAATGTATTGCTCCCGGACATGACATCTTCATGGGCACCCATGACCACAGTCCATTGAATTGGGTCAGAGCAGCCCCAGCTGGCAGCAGGCCCCTGGAGTCAGCCTGCCAGCCCAGGCTGCTCTGACCTGGCTCAAGGTGCTGCAGAGGAGATGGCTGGGGCAAAGGGTGCTCCAGTGCAGGGTTGGCTGGCAGCCCCTGCACTGAAGCCTCTTGTGCCCCAGCCATCCCTGTCAGCGTCTACATGTGCATTGCTGTGCACGAAAGAATGCCACCACAGCATAGTATCTGTATGTACAAGTACTAACCTGCAGCAGAGTTAATTAGTCTCCTGCAGTCTAATAGGGTTGCATGTGTAGACACTGATATTTTACTGCAGAGCTAATTACTGCAGTAAACATCTCATGTAGATGCGCTCACTGATTCTTATCTTAATCTCTTTCACTACATTGGTCATTGTGTGAATTTAGTATAATGGCTTTTATCTTTTGTATATTTTTTTTTTTATCATTTAGCTTATTCATCACACCTAACATCCAAGACAACCATAAAAATAAGATCATAGGAAAACAGGACTGGAAGGGACCTCATCAGGTCATCTAGTCCATCCCCCAGCTCCAAAACAGTGACTAAGTGATCCCAGCCAATTGTCTAACATGCCCATGAGAACTTACAGGGATGGAGATACCACACCTCTCTAGGTAGTTTATTCCAGTACCTCATAGTGAGAAAGTTCTTCCTAATCTGCAACCTTCCTAAATTTCCTCTGCTGGTTTGAAGCCATTGCTCCTAGCCCTTTCCCCTACAGCCACAGAGACTCCTCCATCTTCATCCCCTTTAGAGTCCATTTGTAGCTAGAAGTGTAGGATTTTAGTCTTCTTGAAGTTCAAAGAAAACAACTATTTCAATTCAACAACCTGTTATTAAAAACCTCAAACAGTCTGCAAATAAATACATAATCTAAAATATGAAAGACTGATTAGAGAACAATTCACCCCAGAAGAAAAGAAATTAGTCATGAAAATCATCTTCCAAAATTAAAAAAATATTTCAAGGGAGGACAAACCTTTAAAGCCATCAGGATAGACTTCTGGAAGAAACTTAGTGCTGATATCGCCCTGAACAAAGCGTGGATGGATTATCACTTCTCGCAGCAAAGCAATATTATGAGTCACACCTAAAAATAAAACGAGTCAATTCAGATGAATGTCATTCCCAAATAACACTGAGAAAGCCATAAAACAAAATGAAATAAGCAGCCCTACAGCCCCAAAACCCATACACACACCCATCCACCTCCCTCTAAATTCCAGTCAACAAATTTGAGTGTCCATAGACCTAGAGAGACAACTTAAGTGAAGTTCCTAGTCCACTCATGACATACTCATATGTCATTTTCTAATTAAATCTACACCCACCTTAAATACATTTTTGTGAAGGTTGTATTATTATAGTAATTAAAAGGAAAAAAAGTCATATGTGTCTCTATATCATGTCGTCAATTGTAATTCATTTAAAAAAAAAAATGATCGAGCTTAACAAAAAAAATTTAAACTTATGTTTATATTTCATACACTTTTACACAACTCTGACTGGCGAAATCTCTAATCAAGTTTTAATGTTTATATTTTGCATTATGTGGCATTGGTCCGTGGTACCGGTATGACCCATAAAGTATAGCTATATAGCAGAATGGCACACAATGGCAAAGCTGCAAACTGGGTGGTTGATATGCCACCCAGACTGGGTGTGAGCTGCCAAAAAACAGATCTGAGAAAAAGAATTCTCCACATAAAGGACTGCTAAATGGGACTTTATAGGTTAAGAATAGCTGAAAGCCCTATCATCATGCCATAAATCCCCATGAAACCAAAGGAATCAACCACCAAGAAAAGGAAGGAAGAGCTACTGTATTTATTCAAATCTAAGACAACCCCATGGAAAATTCATAGTTTCATAGCTAGTAGGGTCGGAAGGGACCTGAGCAGATCATCAAGTCCGACCCCCTGCCATGGCAGGAAAGAGTACTGGGGTCATACAACCCCAGCAAGGTGACTGTCAAGCCTTGTCTTAAAGACCCCCAGGGTAGGAGCCAGCACCACTTTGCTTGGAAGTTGGTTCCAGATCCTAGCCACCCTGACAGTGAAGTAGCGCCTCCTGATGTCTAATCTAAATTTACCCTCTGCCAGCTTGTGACCATTAATTCTAGTCACTCCTGGTAGTGCTC